ACACACACACACTCAGACACACACACACACACTCACAGACACACACACAGCTACAATGTTCACAGATGCATTAACAAACAATGCATGGTAAGAGCATCTGAGGGAACACGGCTCACCCATAAGAAGGAATAAAGTTAGAAACACAAAAGAATTCCAGTGAACCTTGAAAATACCAAACTGAGGGCGCTGGAGAGATGGCTCAGAGGTTAAGGGCACTGGCTGCTCTTCCAGAGGACCTGAGTTCAATTCCCATGGTGGCGCACAACCACCTTGAATGAGATCTGGTGCCTCTGCTGGCATGCAGGCATACATGCAGGCAGAACACTGTATTCATAATAAATAACTAAATCTTAAAAAAAGAAGAAGCCATACTGAGCTACACAAGCAGACTCTCCAAGGCACAAATGACTATATGAAACACCCAGAAGAGGCAAACCCACAGGGGCAGGGTTAGAGGAGACTTTAATGAGTGTGGAGTTTCCCTTCAGGGTGATAAAAACGTACTGGCCAAGCCAGGCGTTGGTGGTGCACACCTTTAATCCCAGCACTCGGGAGGCAGAGGCAGAGGCAGACAGATCTCTGTGAGTTCGAGGCTAGCCTGGTCTACAGAGCGAGTACCAGGATAGGCTCCAAAGCTACACAGAGAAACCCTGTCTCGAAAAACCAACCCCCCTCCAAAAAAAAAAAAAAAAAAAAAAACGTACTGGCCACATGACATCATGAATAAACACCACTGGAAGTTCTTGCTTTTCTCGGCTGAGGCGAGGAGGTGAGAGGGGAGGCAGGTGTGTATTAGCACAGCTGGACAGGGAGTCCAGCCAGGCCACCAGCCAGTGCACAGCTCAGGACGCCTGAGCCCTAGATGCTGACACTCAAGCCGAGGCTCTTTGGCAGATGCTAACAGGCCATGTCCTGAGGTTTCCCAGCCAAGGGTGCTCCTGAGGGGGTGGCCAGTAGCTAAAGCTACCTTTGTGAGATTTAACAGTCTCCCAGTGGGTCCCACTGCGCACACAGACCTATCCACCACACCCTCTTGCCCAGACAGCTGCTGTCAGCCCCCCCTTTTCTCTAGTTGATGATGGGTACAGCTGGGCCCCAAGCCACCACCATCTGCAGACTTACCCTGTGAGTAACAAATTCTTCCCCCACCCCAGGCCCTGCCAAAGAGGACAGGATTATGTCACCCTTCACACTTACTGGGACAGGGCCATGGGCCAGGGGTTCCCAGAAAGGATGGGACCAAGGCTGAACTTGACCCGCTTGGCCACGAGGAGGAAGGCTCAAGCGAACCGGCTAGCAAGGACAGACGGGAAGCAGCACCCAGGAGCCACCCATCTGGCTTCACCCTTCCCTTATGTCCACCTCCTAACTGAGCCACGCCTCCCTGGCCAAATGTGGGAGCCACTCCGCTGGGCAGGAGCATCCATGCGGTGCGTGGAACAGCCACGCTCTCACTCGCAGGACAAAGGTCTCAGGAAATGTCAGTGTCGTTCCTCTGACTTTGCTCCAGCACAAACCAAGCCCAGCTCTTAAAAACC